CCCGCACCCGAGGGACCCGCGCCGGGCACCGGGAGGGGTCCGCGCGCCTCGCCCGCTCCTTTCGCGCTGCGACGTGTGGCTGGCTCGGTCTACAGGGATGCGGACTCGCTCGTGGGTCGCTGGGTTTCTCGTTCGCCCTTTGACTCATCGCTTTTGGCAGCTCGGACCTCCCGCGCCCGCCGCTGACTGGGGAGCCCTCCCCACCCGACCCCGCTGCGGCGCCTGCACCCGCCGTCTCCCAGCTCTAGTCTCTTTCCTGTCCTATGCAGTTTTAAAGCTGCGGAAAGCCACCGGGAGGAGAATCCTTCCCACCTCTAAACGTTACTTTCTTGCAGTCCGTTGCGTTTTTGTTAAGATCCAAGTTTAGGAATTTGAGAGCTGTGTAGTGGAGTTACTGAAGGGGATAGTGATGAGTTCAAGGAAAGCTGTGATTTCATCTTTATTGGCCTCACTATGAAAACCTAACACATTTTTGTTCTGCTTCATTTAAATGTGGTCAGGTTATTCGCTGAATTAAATTTTTGGAGACTTATATAAAAAACTGTTTTGGGGTTATTGGAGGATGTATGGCAGCCACTTTGCACCTGAATTGAAATTGCCTGGGAGATTGTGTTTTGGGGTTTACCAACTGATTTTTGTACCACCAGTCTTTTTTCCTGATAAGTGAAATGATGTAGTCGGAGAGCCCATACTGCTCTCTGCAGTGTGGAATTGAAAACGTGAATTATCCACAGGGGTAAAACTTTCCAAGAGCAATCTCGGATACTTGCTTCCTGATGGCTTCTCCTGTAATGTCAGCGTGTTTCCAGGGAACTCAGTTCCCTGACTGTCTTAATTACTTTCTGAAGTGCTAGCACTTCCCTTTGGTGACTCGTTTAGTAAACTGTAATGGTAGCTATGGTACATTTTCTTGGCATCAAGTGAGTCGCAGCCTGGGTCCCTAGAAAAACAATTCACAATGGAAGCGGAATTCATACCATTGCTAGTGAGTTTTGGCAATGACCAACTGACAAACTATGTGAGAAAGCAAACATCTTTCCATAACTGTCATAGGGGAAGAAGGGGAAATATTTTATCACATCTTTACTTTGGAATCTGGTAACAAGACTATATTACATGGGAAAAAAGTAAAATTGTTTTCTTTAAAGTTTTTTGATTTGTGGACTTGTGTCCACTCCTTTCCCCCCACTCAAGGTTGACATTTATGTTTGGCTGTGTTCCAGCATGGGAAGAAAAGTATTTTGGTAAGAGGAAAGATAAGATTGCTTTGAACTATTACGTGCTGTGACTATTCGTTTTAGCCAGTGATAGCACAGAGAAATTTCCCCGATATATTTGTACCCCATTAACTTTCTGTCAGGATTTATTTTTAAGAGTCTACCCTGAAGCCCATAAAGATGTAATGCCAACTTCATAACAGTTTTTGACAATCACATTAAAAAAAAGTGTTCCTGGAATGTGCTATATTTATATACTCCCATAAACATTTATCTTTGTACATTTATGCTAATGTAAATATTTAAGTCTGAGAGCTTAAAAACTTTTATTTGCATACATGTTTTCAACATCTAGGAGTGCCAACCATATTTGCCAAATAAGCATCAGCCATAAATTCATGCTTTGGCACGATGCATATAATAATTCTTCTAAATTACTCTATGGTGAAGCATCATGAGATTAGCATTTGCTTGGTGAGGGAGATATGTTGTTTTTAACTATAATGATGCACTGTTTAAGGGGAACAGGTGCTGGGTTCTAGCTGTGGCTGCTGAAACCTGCCAAATGATACTCTTTTGTTGAATGGGTTGTTTAAGTAATTTAGGAACCAAACTGGCCCCTAGCATACCAAGTATGCTATCCCTATCACTGCAGTAGATCCCTGTTTTTACAGGTAAGAGCAGGTGTTTGTGATGAGTTTTATCTTCTCATTGCTGTTCACTGTAATTCTTATCCCCCTCCCCCCCCAACTTCCCCTTTCATTACTAGAGTTCCTGGGAAAGTCTAGGCTCCTTCACTGCTGGTTTGTTTTCCTTGGAGAACTAGAAATTCTAGTAACTTTCAGGCCAGAAATAGTTCACATTTGTTTGACAAATATTTTGAGTGCTTTCTAAGTGGTAGGCATGGTGGTAGGCCTTGAGTATTCATAGAATGATCTCCCTTTTTGTAAGGAACATACAGTTTAGGAGCTCATTGAAAACCATTATTTACAAAGTGATGTATGATAGAAAGGTATAAGGTATAAGGATGGAAGTACAGAAGAGGAGTGATGGTGAATAGGATTTTTGAAATATATCTTAGTTGGTAACTTGAGCTAATACTCAAAAAATAGATAGGATTAACAAGTTCAGAGAGAGCAAAGGTCATTTTAGACTGGCATTGTTTTATAAAACTATATTACAAGGCACAAATGTAAGTCACATAGATGTAAATTTTTCTGGTAACCACAATAAACAAGTAAAAAGTGAAATTAATTGTATTAATATATTTATGTAATCCAAAGTACCCAAAAATTATCATTTGAACAAGTAATCAGTCTTAAAAAAGTATCGAGATATTTGACATTCCCTTTTTCCATACTAAATCTTCAGAATCTAGTATGTTTTTTATTCTTGTCACCATCTCAACATGGACTAGTCATGTTCACGTATTCAGTAGCCTGTAGGAGAGTTAGGAAGTATTATCAGTAGGACAGGTTTAATCACTGAATTATGGAGTTGAGCAAGATTGAAGATTTAGGATGAGTCCTGCATTTATGTTGTCTGAAGAGGGAAGCTGATGAACCATCTGTGTCACACAGACCAAAGATGAAAAAAGGAAGTTAGATTTGTCAGGGAAATGAAGGGAGTAGAATATTTCTGGACTCACTCAGATCGGCCCACGCTGTATCTTGCCTTGAAAAGACCAAGTGAAGTAAGGACCGAATAAGGTTTCATTGGGGGTAGGGAAATGGTGTGTGTGTGATTAAGATGTCACTTGTAACTAAGTAAGAGTAGGTAGTTACATTGTGATGCATTAAAGGAGTTGAAGAATGGTGGTTAGGAGCATAACTAAGAGGGATACAGTGTTTTCAACAGAGGAAAGATTATAGGTGGAGACAGATTCAGGGATTTATAAGTTTACCCCCCTCTCCCCCCCCTTTTTTTTTTAATAAGGCAGTATTGGGTATTTAATGGAGGGAAAAATTGAAGGAGACAGACAGATGGGGTGAAGGAGAGGGGGAAGAAAGATGATTGAGGCAAGGATGTGGAGAAGATAGGACCCAAGGCATAGATAGAGAAATTGATCTTGGGTGGGAGATTGTTTTGCTTTTCCAGGGAGTAGAAAAAGAGATAAAGTTGGAGGCAGAATATGTTGGTGACATATCTATCATTGTTGAGTACTTGCTGAAAGTGAGGGAGGTAAGGGGTTCTTAAAATGTTATGTGTATTTATAACAGTGTCTAAGAAGAGGGAGGAGGAGAAGAGGCACTCAGATGGACACTTGACTAGGAAATGAAGAGTCCTGAGGAATCATTTGAGGGTGTAGACTTTGGATTTGTAGAGGTATTAATTTGTACGGTTTGATTTTTTTTTTCTTTACCTTCAGCTGTGATTATACTTGGTGCATTTGAAGAAACCATCAAAGATAAGAAATAAGAATTGATGAAAAAAGGGCTCCACAAAGTGGCACTTGTTGTTCTCCTTGATTGTTTCATGAACAGCTGAGCCTCAAGTTGTGTCTCAAGTCAGAGATGCCTGCTTAGTAAAGATGCCTGAAGGACAATTAGTTGAGGGAATTAATAATATTGAGGATTGTGACTGAAATGAAGAACTGTAGACTCCATGCTGGATCATGAGCAGGAGGCCTGGAAGGGGTGATTTGATTGGGAAAAAGTGAAGGGCACAAAAATCTAGAGGTCATTATGAAACTGAATAGATAGTAAGAAGGGAGCTATAATATTGGCTTTTATTTAAGCTTACCTTCTTGTGTTCTAGAACATATTAATATCTTATTTTTAATTCTAGTACAAACTCTACAGTGTGGTATTTGCTACATATTTGTCCCTTTATCATTCTTTAGATGAAGAAATTGAGGATTAGAGAGGTTAAATAACATGTCTAGAGACAAAGTATC